AGTGTTCTCCTTTGGCTTCTACTATACCACAGAGAAACACATAGTGGAAGGATCTGCCATATCCTCATACAGATACTTATTAAATCAAGATCAGTAATTATGCCTACCAAAAGCATGCCAGCTTGGTAATCAGACAAAAAACCCCAGCTATTCTTTTGTGATAAATTCTTTATTAAGAGTCTTAAAATTCATTTTCCTGCCAGTGGAAATATTAATAGGTGATTATTTCATTCCAGCAGTTTGCTCAAGTTTACCAGCGTGCATTCTCTACACACAACCAGCCACTGAATATAGAAACCACTTAATGTGCATCAATTTGTTTGAGAAGTAGGGAAGTAAAGGCAGTGATTTATATTACAGATAATGCCTATAAATAAGCAAATTAGACTTCACATGAATTATATGCATTAACAATTAATTTACCTCAATGAGTGGAAAATAAGTCAAGAAAAAACTCAGATTTGTGCAGTGCAAAAATATGACCTTTTTACAAAGTAAAAAATGTGACCAATTCAGATACCTATATACACTTTTTATACAAAATACAGACACACAATAAAACAGTAAAAGAGAAAAGCAAACTGAGTTCATGAGCAAAATGTTATAATAAGCTGCAAGCTAGAATATTTTCCCTAAAAGCCTATTAACATTTGCCAGATATTTCATTTAAAAAGTGTCACTGTATACCCATTTCCTCATCACAAGCCATGAACTAGGAGTATATCAAACTTTCACAAGGACTAGTTTCAGAAATAATATTAAAGGGTTTCTTAATGCTATATTTCCTTTATCAAAGAGGACAAATTGTATTAATGTCATGTGGATGTCACCTGACAAGATTCAGCAAGAACACTGAAAACAGAAAATGATGGTTCATACCAAGTCACAACAATGATAACTGCAACAGTGAGAAATAAAAAGAAATTCAGTCAAGGTATTTTTAAAAAAAAAATCCTTCATCTACAAATGAAGTGCTTAAAGAGCACACTAGTGGGATATTACAATTTCACTCATGATGGAGGTTTTTTAGGGGGGCGGGCGTGGAAGAGGGTGGAAAGGTAAATCTCAATAATTTAAAATGCCACAGGTTCAGAGCCTTGATAAAGATTAAACCATGAGCCTCCTTCAGGAACAATCTGCAAAGAAAAAAGTAAGTAGAGTTAGTCATGGCTATTGGAAGTGAAATGAGACCTAAAAGGTCCTAAAGGTGCCTCATGTGTAGCTGTTCTAACTCGCTCAAGCGCTAAAGATACAAGTTGTTAGGAATACACAGAGACACATCCCATTTCCTTTCCAACATCCATGGTCCTCTAATACTGTCCAGCATGCTCTCTTGAGCCACTGACTATGTAAGATCACTTGACATTTCTCCCAACTCTTACAGAAGAATGTCTTCTCTCTTTAGTTGAAATGAGTTAATTTCATAGGAAATATGTAATTAAAAATATGCATTCACAGTCTCCTCAAGCAATGCTTACAGAATGCTAGACATGTAGAGAGATCACCATTGATTCACTGCTTAGTTTTACTTTAACGCTATTGTTTCTAAAGAGATTAGGACCATGTCTTTTTCTCAGTTTCTTGCATTTGTTTCTACCTTCCCCTCCACAATAGTTCTTTGGTAAGGGTGCATCCTTGTGTAAGATGGCAAACTTAAAACTAAGTTATTCAGAAAAGGAAGTGGAAGAAGCCCTAAACTTTAGGAGAAACAGAATCTAGCCCTATTTTCTCAGATGATCACATATCTATCCTGCTCTACTGCCTTCTCTTTTCTCCCTATATTTCTCTGATTTATTCTTTAGTTGGCTTGGTAGCGTTTCCTGCATTCATCTGCTTTGCCATAACCAATTCTGCAAGATCAAATCCAATCAACCCACAGTTCAGGCTTTTCTCTGTACAAGCAAGACACATTGAGAAGGGGAGAGGAAAGAAAAAACTTTAATTTTTTCCCCACTGAAATGATACTTCTTTCATCTCTACTACAAAGAAGTATCCTTCCTTTGCAGAAATGTATACAGACATTCTCTTTCAATATGCACAGATCTAAACACAAGAATCTCAAAGAAATGCCATCACTACCATATGAAACTGAAAGATCAAACTCTCTTCTCCCTCAAACCAAACTGATCAGCCAGCCAGTCGAGATTCAGATATCTCTCTTACAAATCTGAAGCTCAGACCAGGGCTGCTACAGACAAACCCAACAAGTTTCATGTGGTTTGGGGTTTTGTTGCCAATAGCATCAACAACTAATCAATACACAAAATTAGATTAAAGTGACAGATCTGTTCTTAATTTTTAGTCTCAACATTCTGCCATATTGTATACATTTTTCCATTTGATGAGTGCAATCTGAACTTGCTTCTAAATCATCTTCTATGTACTTCTCACTTAACTAACTACTTGTTAAATGGTCACCCACTCTTTCAAATAGTTGATTTTCCTCTTCTCTAATCCTTACTAATTTTCTTTCTTCCTCTTTGCCTGCCACCTTCCTTTATAGAGGATTATTAAAAAGTTCCACCATATTATTTGGATTCAGCTTTGTAAAACTAAACTTTAACCTTCCAAATGGGTTAGTGGAAATTTTAGCATCAGGAGCCAGGACCAACTAACACCGAATAACACAATTCCATCCTTAATACTGCAATTCCAGCAATTCCACCAACAATCTTGTATATCTGGTGATCTTTTTAATTCTCGGATTTTATTAAAAAGAAGTTTCTAGCCCTCGCAATTTCAACAAACAGCTTGAAAACATGAACTCATGTGCACACAAAGTCCCATGATTTTGAGAGGCCAGACTCATGATTTCTGAAGATCCTGAGTTTTAAAAGCCTGCATTATCAAAGCCAATCTTTTTTTACCTCACACACAATGAAACTTCTTTAAGGTTTATAAAATGCTTAAAAACCTCTCACAAAATGTTCTGCTAACTAAAATATGGGATAAATAGCCACTCTTTCCCTATTCTGGATAGGTCAATCTAGATATCTACATACACGTGTGCAACAACTTTATATAATATTATAAAAGTATATTATATTTTCTACAAGAAGCACACGTGCATGCATGTGGTGATGATCTGGTGTAAAATATCTGCCACAGAGCAGAGGAATCTTAGAGGTTACACTGGAAACAAGGTCCAGTCATAACTCACTCTCTCTCAAATGGGGTATGAAACATCTGAATTTTACACATGAGGTTTTTCAAGAACATCCAAATGACATAGAGGAATCTCTTGCCTGTAAGTCATGTATATGCTTTTGAAAGTTTCACAATGAAATAAGAAATCTCCTCCAAGTTCCCTTTCTAAGAATGGTACCTTAAAAATTACTCAACATTGATATTTACTTACCTCATGGAGCTTATTAGCATAACCATATTAAGGAGATATTCAAAGCAAGTATTGACCAGAATCAGTATGTGCTATAAGACTTTTTATACTGTTGCTTAATATATACTTGACAACCTGCTGCAGCTGTGATTATCTGGAAATCATTAACGTTCCAAGTAATTTACTTGCAACTATTACACATTTCTACAAGAAATGAGACTTGTGAGGTAAAAGTAATAGCTTACATTGAACCAACTTATATTCTTTTCTCAGTGAATGGAACAATTTCAGTTAGTCTACACAACTCCTGGTCCCCACAAGTTGCTATACTAGTCCATAAACCACAGAGCAGAGAGGGCTCAGACCCTCTCACTTCTCATATTGGAACTCTGCCATATTTTGATTTTACCCCAAAATTTCCTGCTGGAAGTTCAGGAAAAAAGGGTACAGGATATACTGAATAGCATCCGTGTAATTCATGATGGATTTTGTTGAAAGAGAAAATTCAAGTTAAGTATTTATTTGTACAGTGTTGTGAGTAGTTCATTAATAGAACTAGTTACATGTATTATATCATCTCATATATTTATATCTCAAACTATAGTTTTGTAACCATCAGGGTAAACTCTGAATTTACTATTGTAAAGCAGCAGTCGCTGATAAAAAAACAAAATAATGTCTGGGGATCAGTGTCGTGTGGCCCAGGGCAAAGTTAGCTTTGTTCTGATATTCAAAAAGCACAAGAATTAAAACCTCATTAAAAATAAGGAATTAAGGTGCTTAATGCTGCTGAAAGTCAAGTAATTTGTTGATGTATTTAGGTATAACCATTTTTTTGCCCTCTGGAGAAAGCAACTAAACTTTTCCACAAGTCTTTTTGATCCTTAACAAAATTAGGGAAGAAAATATTCTGAAAAAGTTTTAATTTATGTAGCTATTCTCTGGTTTTATTCTCAAGAAGAGAAAGCTGTCATCAATGTACTTAATTTTTAACAGGATGTAACAGACTCTATGTATTTTCCCGATCAGTGGTTTTTAACCTTTCTAAAGCCAAGGCACCCCTTGTTAGACTGGTGGCACTTTTCACAAAATGCCAGCACCTAACAGCGCTAATATTATGGAGCACGCTTAAAAGGATCTCATAGCATCATTGGGTGCTGCAGCACCCTGTTTGAGAATCGCTGTTCCACATAATATTCCTCAACTGAGGCCTTTAATGGAAAGATTCAGTTAGTCTCTTATCCAATCTCCAAGTGACCTCTCTTATCTGCAGTTTCCTTTTCTTCTACTTTATTCAGGGTGCTATTATTTTATGACTCTTATCTGGTATGGGACTCATTAACAGGTATATCTGTGGAAGGTGATAATTTCAGTGTCTTTGTGCAGCATTTTCATTTATAGTGTGAAAGATTCACACAACCCAGCAGGATCTGTCACTTTCCCAAAATATGAAAGTCTCTGACATTAAATGCATTTCTTTTCAGATGTTATCAGTAAATTTTCCTGAATTTGCAGGCAGGTCAAACTTTCAGACGCCAAAGAACAGATAAAGCCATCACGGCTTCTTCTGTCCTAAGACTGTCCAAATTCAAGGGACAGCTTTCAACAAACAGGCTTGAGACTATCTGCATACCCTTTTAAAGTGCCAACACCAAATAAGACATAAAAAGGATAATCCAATTAAATAAAAGCCTGGCAAAGGATTTTTAGGTAACGTGCTAAGAAATTTCTGAAAGTCCCTTAGTGCTTATGACTAACAGATGGAGAACCGCTTCTACTTCCTTTCTGATAACACTGTCAGTTCACTGCGTCAATCATCTGCTCGAGAAAAAAAGACTGTTTGTAAAACCCATTCTTCAGTAGTCGGTAATAAGAGCAGCTGTTATTCAAGTATATTATACCCTCATATCAGCTTTTCAGTAAGGCTAGGTGTACTTCCCCCTCCAATCCACCCTAAACTCACAGAAGCTGGCACACACTCTTTAAGCAACTTTAGCATTGTGCCATAAAACATTTGAGCAACAAGACTGGGAGAAGGCAACTGAATAACCTACAGTGCCACAGTTGGAGCTTTGTGCATGTGTAATACGATACAAACACTCATGAGCCTGCTGCTTTTAAGTTATCCCCTAATTGTGCTTGAAAATGTAAATTCATTTAAAAAAGAAAAAAGTTGCATTGTCACAACAGGAAGGGGCTCTTCTAAAGGCAAACTTGTATGTATGCAACCAAAGCACTGAAATCACAGGCTATTAGAAATTAGTCATACTGAGAAATGCGAGATACCCCTACACACCTCTAAAGCCTATTTGATATCATTAGTTGTTTTTCCCTGCTGATTACCTCAGCAGACATATCAGGCTTAAATGCTACTTCACTGCTATTGGATACTGCTACCTTCCAAGAGAAGGAATGTATGGACCAGTAAGTTTGTCAAAAGACTGCAGAAAAGTATGGAATTCGATCCTTTACCCTGAATTTTAAACACCTTGACCCCTGCCCATAAGAGTCGAAGAGGAGAGCGGTTCCTTCCCTACTATCAAAAAGCCTCAGGTGACACTCCATCAAGCACCCCGCAGTTAAAAAAATAATAATAATAATGAAAATTGCAGCTTCTCTTTACCCTCCTCAAAAGCCTACACTATATTTATGCAGCTGCAATTTGAGATGTATAGCATGTTAAATGTGGATGGGAGGGAAGCAAAAAGCCACGTGAAATAAACTGAATTTAATATCCAAACAAATAACCCAAGAGATTCTTTACCAATGTGAAAAGGCTCTGTC